TGAAAAAAAGTCTCTGTGCATTGAAGAAACTTTCCTAGGAGTTTGGCGTAGCAAGCAAGCATATGTCTTAAGACTCTCAAATTGTGATAATGCCCAGCTTGCTTCATTTTTCATCGTTAAGACGTTTGTGTGCTATTAAGACCCTGCTGCAGCTCGGTGTGATAACTGTCCTTGGTGCTGAAACAGGTACTGCTGTTGTGGTGTGATAAACTTCTCCCAACAGTCCTGTAATGGAGCTGAATTGGGCATTTCTTGCCAGTACTAACAGCACCCGTAACAATGGCAGTCCTTATGGCTTACAGTTAAAATGACGGATGTACAGGAAAGCTCTGCTGGCAACTTCAGTATGGCATGCAGTACAGCCTGAAGGGCTGGAGTAGTGGAGAGCCAGGCTTAACTGTCATAAGTTTGAACACATTGAGCCGCTTTTACAAGTATGAAAAACCTGCGTCATACTGGTATTTCTTGTAGCTTGGGCATTCATCCGTCTCAAGAGCAGAATTTTTATGTAACAGGCTTAGTATGCAATTCATGACATACAAGTCTTTTTGTTTGTCTAAAGCAAAAAAAAATTGCCTTCATTATGAAATCTATGAACAAATTATCAAACACACAGTATGGTATGGCAAATGAAAAACTCATTTTCATTCCTTCACATTTTCTTCTTTTCCTTTAAATTGATTTTGGCATTTTATAACATTAGTATCATTTTCCAATTTTTTTGTTTTTTTACAATAACGGCATATATTTGCTCATTTTGAAACTGCTGTGTACGATTTACAGTATGGTTGAAAGTTGTTTTTTAAACAGTCCTCAACAAATCAACTTGGCCTAAGTTTATTTGGGACAGTAGTTTTTACAACCACTGTGGCCTGCTCCAAGTTTCCCCCAACATGTGTACACAGACATGTTTGTCCCCATTACTGTCATAATGGCCAGTAATAACAGAAGGGCTGGCGATCGATAGTTATGTGAGGAGTGGAAGGTATTTATGAGTAAGTGCCGTGCCAGATACATGGACAATGTGGAATCTGCATTGCTGGGAGTGTCCAAATTGCAACCTTTTCAAAACTGGTGTGAAAATTTGGTAGCTAATGTTTTGAAGGCATGGCCCAGTGATCTCTCTTAAACTTGTAGCCAGTGCCCATTTTTCCGGCATTTGACGGATTTTTGCCCCTTACCATGACAAAATTTTTGCACAATCTGCCATCTTTGATGGAGAAAAATCGCATGAAAACATATGGAAAGAGATGTCATTAAAGTAAACGTAGTCTATCAACAAAGTTTGATGCAGGAAATAGTGTTTCAGAGTAGCTATTTCAGAGGGTTAAGAGTTCAACATTTTCACAGGGAAGCATGCCCCCGGACCCCCCAGAATTGAGATGGCAGGAGAAAAATCAGGCTGGCAGGACATGAAGACAATTCAAACCTGGTTCCCTTTAGTTTTGGGAATACTTACCCTTGGGATTTCTTTGGCATTTCGACCAGCTACCATGATTTTGCCACTGGACGTCCGTGACCTAATTTTACCAACAGGGTTTGCCCTGGGCCATGCACCCAATCAGTGACAGGTCGTTTGATTGAGACTGCAGAATTCCTATGGCACTTCCGGTTTAACCTTTAGTATGCTTTGGGGGACTTCTAGGTCCAGAATTGTTTCTGTGATAATTTAGTACGGAAAGGTTAAGTGTGCATATACTGTCTCCTGCATTTTATTTTTGTTAAGAAAACTTGACTAAACGTGTTCATTATTAAGTTTTTCATTTCTGCCCAGATATTTACTGCACAGTAATGTTCTAACCCCTAGTTACCCCATGTGGAAAATTGAAGATTCCCTATAATAAAAATGAAAGTAATGATCATCACCCATATCTACAGGGGCATGACCTGGGTCAGTTGTAAAGTAAACTTGCATTCTTGTGCGTCAACATTTTTCTCGCTCACTTCCCTATAGTGGTACATAATTTGCCGTAATTGTAAAATTAAAGGTAAAGTATAGAATTGAATTGACCCCCGAGGTCCCAACTAGACTATAAGCTTTACACAAGGGAGAACAGAAACCAGCATCCAAAAATACCTTTCGCACTAATAGCGACATTTCTCCTCACACTTAATAAAATTTTATTCCATTTTTCCGGTCCAAGCGATCTTCTGTCAGAGATTTAGCAAGTTAAATTCAGCAGTGATATTCAAAATCACAATATTGAGGTCACAGGTCGTGGAGAACAAAGCGAGGTCATGACCCCTGTCTCCATGGGGACAGGTCCTGTTAGTAGAAAGTAGTTACTGATGTTCTAAGTGACCTCACAGGTCATTGGCTAAGACTAGTGGAATGAGTTTGTAGCTGCAATGGAAATGAGCCTTTCATGCTTATTTGGTGCGCTGTGCATCCCAGTTGTTATCTGAATGGGACAGCACGCTGTTAAAAACTGTAGCAACAGCACTGTAGTTATATTTGACTGAATAGATTTAAAAGTCTGATTCCTTGTACAGTCAAATCTGTACAAGAGACCATCTCTACATACCTCACGGATATTAGCACTTTTTGGCAGTCCCTTAATTAAATTTTTCCCATTGACACGAACCTCAAGAATCCAGTCTACAGTGACCGCCTGGCCACAAAAATCAGATTTTTTTGGACCCCTGAGTGGCCTTCTTAGGTAGTGAAGTCTATTTGCATTAGAAGCATGGATGTACATGTACTTACTAGCTACATGTACCTAACTCATCTCCAATATCTTAATGATACATCGCTCCATTTTCTAACTGCAATGATACATGAATCATTACTGTACATTTGTACACAAGAAGTGAAATGCTAACATGTTAGAAAGGCAAGAAAGTCAATTTTTTTCTGTTCAAAAGACCAGAAAGGTATAGAGTATAATTGGGGAGGAGGTGGTCAATATATGATTGACGTTCATTTCCTGTAACCTTTAGATGGAATAACTAGGCCACAGTGAGAGGTGATTTCCTGTCAATTCATTACTACATGATAACTGTCCTCTGCTGCTGCCTCCGGAACAGCAATTTTATGTCCCTTTGTAGCTTCTTGCACACATCCAGTTCAATTTTGGGGCTGCAAACTGGATTTTCAAAAAGTCAATTCTCTTGTCATTCTTTCAATGTAGTAAGTTGAATCAATCCTATCCCATGGTATATGTCTGGTATCTGTGAGGCAAAAATGTGATGTCGCTGACAGAAAACAGTTGCTTGTTTTGTATCTTAGACTGGTTCTAATTATTTATGGGCGGTAACCCAAAAATAAAGGGGCTCATGTGTGGCATATTTTGGGGCTTTTCAGATTCACTTGAAGTTGAAGAAAGTGTGCTAAAATGGCAGTAGATGTCAATATCAGACAGATTTTCCTCGTCTAGAATATTTTTGTTTTGGAGCCCTAAAATTCAATTGAATGCCTTTAAATTTAGTGCTACAGAAGGTAGGAGGAATTTTTGATTTGCTGCAATATGTTGCATTGTATAGCTATATTGTTTTATTTCAGTAATAAAGAAATATGTAGGAAAGAGTTAAAAATCTGCTTAGAATGAAGTCATAAATCAAGTTTTATATGCACAATGTTGACATATGTACATATGGGTACATTGAAAAGTCGGTACATATTTAGTTTGCAGCAGTAAATTCTCCTGGACGGCTCCCTACACTAATCTCTGCTCTGTAGTCTGTAACGGTTTGCCTAAGGTTTGTGCGCTTTGAAAGTTTCCTTTGTGTCGTAGTAATTATACCATTGACCCGAGCCAACTGTAGACACAAATTGCTCATTCCAATAAAGAATAGGAACTCTAATCTCATAAGAGCAACAGGTTAATCATTCCAATCATCAGTAATGTCATCAGGGGTGTAGTCCACATGGCATTTCAGGGGGCAGCAGCAATCAGACGTTCTCATCTTTGGGACAGGGAAAGTTTAGCTGAACCTTTGCACCGTGGCATGAGATTACAGAGGGGAAGCCAGAGTTGCTCCACATTTTCCCTGTTGAGCGGAGATTGACTCTGGCACTGTATGCAGGTTTTGGGCCATGATAATGGTATGCCTTTGCCTATCTATATTTTTATGGCTCCCATTTAGGGAACTAGGGTATCTATTTCATGAGATTTGGGGATTCAACCTCATCGTGATATATAGTTTTGTGAGAAATAGAAGTCAGCATGCTTTAGCCTAGGGCACGCCTAATGTTCAAGTGAATAAGCTGAAGAAAGATGGTGGATTACGTCTGAAAGCTTCTATGCTTTTACCCTAGTAAGTCATGTGTACAAGTTTAACCCCGTCCTGTTACTATGTTTAAGTGTATGTTTTCTGGAGTGGTCTGGTCTGCTACAAACTAATGCTTGTTAGTGCTGTTATATGGGTATTACTATTAGTAACTATGTCTACCTGCCAACATCCAGTGCAAGTGTTAGTCACAGTAAAATTATCATCTGACATGGAAAGCTGTGGTAACTTCTCAGAGGAAAATGTTTTCTGGATAGTTTTTAAAAGTGCAGGTAAAATTTGCCCAGTGCAGGTAATTTTCAATGTTACCAGTACTAGTACACATTTGCATAAAAATGTATTTCGAGCCCTACAACCTAAAGACAAATTTCACCTGTTGATATCCTGTTTTTTTACAGCCAACGGAAAGGAAGAATTCCATATTCATGGATAAGAACGGATGAAAAACAGACCCACATGCATGGGTCATGCTACTGCCTTTCATCATATAGTACATACATAACATATTATAGGCATACATTTCTTTCCAGGCCGGAGGATAGCAGGTTGAAAAGACTATGAAATTAAATGTCTTTTACATGTTTCTGCTTGTAATACAGACAGTGGGCTAAGAAGACTGAGGAGAACCCTGGAGCTATATTGACAATTCCTTTTTTCTTTTATCAAGCACGGTTTGAGTTTCGTTTCATTTGGGCAGCAACGATGTTACAGTACCCACAGAATCAGATGTGCCTGAAAGAGAAGACAAATGTCTGCTTCTTTTGTTACAGACTCCAAGCTCCTGGCTGGATGCTGACAAAAGAGGAACGTCTCACAAGAGATCTGCGTCGTGGGGAAGCGCGGACCAGCTTAAGGAGGTTCGTAAGACAACTCCATCCCTCGTATCTGTCCGCTCAAGTATCCTCGGAAATTTGTGGGGATCCAATTGTAGATGTGCCCTGGGGTTACTTCAATGCAAGGCTCTAGCCAGCACCGGTTTTTTCATCAGTTGCAGGAACTTTGCAATTTGTGACGGAACAGTTTTTTAAACCAATCTGTCAACCGTGAGGGACACAAATGACAAAAAATCTTGGGACAAAATATAAAAACATTCATAGGTCCATCAACAACCACTCTCAACCCCATGATTTGCCTCTCAAAATGTAGGGAAATGGCATTTTTAAATAAAAATTTTGCCTCCGGATCCCCCAAAAATCCCCCAGGTCCAATCATGTACCTGGGCTGACGGAACCCTGGTTCAAAGTCAACTAATATAATTTCCGGTAACTGTTTGAAATGGCAGTTTATACTGTGTCCTTGTACATAAATGTCAAATTTTACGCCTTGTTTGTCATTATGGTCCGTCCTTTATCTCTGATACAGCATGACAGGAACATACAGACATGACATGCTGCTTATCCTCCCCTTCACAGAAAATTAGGCAGCAGCTGCAGCGGAATGCGAAACAGAACAACCATCGCGACGCGGGCCAGAGACAGTCGCCTGTTCCGGGAGACCACTCAGCGATCCAACAGTCGCCCACCCCCCGCTCCATACCCATTCCCATTCCCATCACTAGCATTCCAAAGGGCGCCCTTCCCAGGTAACTAACACTGTGGAAATATGTGGATAAAGTCTGGTCATCTTTCTGAGCTTTCAACATTTTATAAGAAGATAATTTTAAGTCCACATCAAGTGATTTGTTACTTCTCAGACGTTATGAAGTGCTTAGGATGAAAACAGTCTTTGTAGAAGTCTGTACCTTGGTACACACAGCATTAAGGAATGATTTTTGTGTGATGCAGGTTTTCCTCTTAGCCCTTTGATGTCATTTCCAGGAATTTATGCTGAATTTTTGCTAAGAAAATGTCTGACATCCAGGAAAATTAAATTGGCCTAAGATCTCAATCTTGGAAGTAATTATGTCCATAAAGAAAACTTGAGATGTTTCCATGAGACACATTTTTCCGACCGTTGTAACACTGACTCTCTTGTTTCTACAGACTAAGAAATAGTGTGGAGGGTTTGAACCAGGAAATCGAGCGAGCGTTGTTTATCACAGCTAAAACCTCAGGGAACGAAGAAGAACGAACTCAGGTGAGACATCTAATGATACTCAAGCTGGTTATACTCTTTATATGTGAACAAAGTTACAATATTCATAGTTGGCTCCAAGCAAGGTATCCATATCCTGTATACATTGTATTCCTGTCTGTATGATGTACATGTAAAGTGCAAGTGTTGAACTATTGACACCACAAAAGTACAGCAGCTTTTGTTAGGTTTTTTACAATGGTTACCATACTTACAAAGTGGATACAAATGAACTTACGAAGTGTACAAGTATATGGATAAATCAACATGTTGAGTTTAAAGTACTGTATAGGGTTCTGAGGTTGAAACATACTTATAGTAGAAGTATTGGCCTATTTGTACACAGTAAGGGTCATCTCCTAGAATGTAATTCAATTTCTAAGGTGGGATGTATAGAATTCTTTTAAACAAGTGGAAAGAAATGAGAAAAGTTTTGAGCGTTAATTATCGCCTACATGTGGTCATCTGAACATCTGCGTCTCTCTTTTCGTCAGACGGCAATTTCCATTCCTGTGCTTCAGGAACCCACCCCCGACGGCCACCGGGCGCCGCTCCCCGGCCAGAGATCCACGCGCACGGTCGACACACAGACGCCGTACGAGAATGAAGCGGAACTCATCTGTGGGGACAGTTCAGGTACGTCAACGTCTTCACATCTGTAGTCAGTCTGCTCTCTTGTAAATCTGTCAAGGAAGGAGCTGTAGTTTGTTATCTACTGCCTTCAAAGTAGAAGGCAATACCCAAAATAGCATACATACAATATACTTTTGGGTATGATAAGATAGTAAATATATGTTTCAAGCTTGAATTTTTGTTCCAACACAAAGAGCATTTCTCACCTAGAGCTTTCCACCTGTCACTCTGGTCTTCTTCAATAGACTGACCCTGTGAGACTGGTCACATGGCTTCTCTGAAGTGTGACGTTAACTCTGGGTCTCACTGGGTCAGTCTATTGAAGAAGACTGGTCGAAAGCTCTTGGTAAAACAACTCTCTGTGTTGGAACAAAAGTTTTTACTTTTAACTCCCAACACAGATGAGTTTCTAAACTTTCATGAGTTTCTAAACCCCTCACTAGTAAACAATAGTACCTCAATGAAAAGTGGCCTGCAGGCCAATTTGAACCTCTCAAGAATAAAGAATAGTTCAAAATAGTTGATCAGACAGTACATGTAGTTGTATATTGTATGTTACTTGTACTATGAAACTGTACATGCAGTAAGCCTCCGTGTATGATTTTACAAAGACATGAAGATTTGTGCCCCCCTCCCACCCCAGGTTCAGGCAGCCGTAGCCAGTCGGTGTCCCCGTCCTTTCCCGGGGAGCGGGACGGCTCCCACCCGTCCTCCAGAGGGAGCTCCACAGAGAGTCCGGGAAACGAGGCAAAAGACAAAGGTACGTCTTCATTACAGGTTTGTTTCCGTAACTTTAAACTGCCTTTGGGAAGAACACACAAATTTCTTACAGTAAGTACAGGCATAAGACTAGACTAATAGGTTTGATGCATTCACACTGGGAAGACCCCTTTTCTAAGAAGTGTAGTGGATTCTTAAACAAACCCATTAAGTTCATTTTTGTAAGTGTGGCTTGATCAAAGAATAGCTAAGTCTAAACAAAAATTTACTATCGTATTCTTAACAATTGTAGTTGTGTAGTGATGTATTGGAAGAATATCTGAACAATTTAGGAATTACATGAGAAAGGTCTTAAACAATACTTGTTTCCACAGAGAACATAAGCACTCCGTCACCAAAATACGAAGTTTCGCCCAAACCAACCAATAACATCCTTGTGACAGACATCGCCTCGGAGATGGGGAGCATGTCTCCGCTGCCAAAGTACGCCGCCTCGCCCAAGCCCAACAATAGTTACTCCTTCGCACGAGAGCCCCCAGACGGTTGTGAGAAAGTCAGCGCGATCGATGAATCAAAGAGGTACAGTAAAATGCTGGAAGCCCTGTGAAAGTATTTAACTTTATTTGCAGTTTCTGTTCTCGCTATTCTGCTATTCACTGTGTTGTTGCACTTTTTGTAAAAGGAGTTTTTTCAAGGGTTTCTTTCTTTTATTTGTAACCATGATGTGTTTCTGTCCCACTCCTCCTCTACTGCTCTCTCCTGTGTTGTGTCTTTTTGTTTTAGCCCCAAACTGGTGCCAACCAGTCCCAGCAGGCCAGAACCAGTCCAAACTGGTTACAAACTGGCTACTGCTGCTGACCCCAGCAGGTGTAAACCTGTCCAGACCAGTCCTATCCTGTCCCCACCAGTTCTGACACGTTCCATGAGCACCCCTGTGCTCTTCTCCTCGGATGTTACATGTATAGATATCACTCCACGTTCCCTAGCTTCTATCAGGTACGACATCTTAATACATCTTTCTTTTCTTCTGTTCACTCCCTTCTTCAGTGCTGTCTTCAAACAGTAGAAAGGAGGGTTGTCTTCTCCTTTCTTGGCTTCATGTAAATCTAGGATAAAAGAGACTGCTTGGTAAATTTTGTGATACATGTATATATACATGTTTGTATGCACATGTATATATATATTCAGCTGCCTTAAATGCACCTTGTACAATGGTAAAACCAAATGTCTTCTGTTCTTTTGTCTGAAATTTACGGAGTACTTTTTTTTCTCTTAAACTACAGCAAAGTGCGGCTGCCCTTGGACCAATCCATGTTCTTCTGCCCAGATAAGAACAAGATCAACTTCATTCCGTTTGGCTCGGCTAGCTCTGCCTTCTGTCCTATCCTTAACAGGTGAGAAATGCATCATTGCTGCTTACCAGCAGCATCATGTATATAGTGCATACTGTGGAACATTTCAGTATACATCATTCTCCGCTCTTAGTTGTAATGTAGTTTGTGGATGGTCTGTTCTGTCAGGATATACTGTATTGATTGTATCATAGAAAATTTTTTATCATTCAGAACGTTTTTATCATTCATGATGTTTTCCATAAGCATCAACACTGAAACCTTACACAACTTGTTTTACTTTGTAACATACAGCAAATACAAGGCTCTGTCACCCGTGGGGTCGGAGATCGAGAGTCTGGCGGTGAAGTCCCCCGCCTCCCAGCCCACAGCACAGCCGACCAACGTGGACAGCACATGCCTCTAGAGGGGGTGCTGCCACTGCGCAGAACAGCCGACCTGGGCCTGACCTCACCAGCCCTTCCGCCAACCTTCCACACTCAGACGTTATCGTGTTCAGAAATCCAGAAGAAAAAAAACAACACTTGGACTGTGCCGTTGTGTTCCGTTCTAGTCTTTACTTCCGTGGTTGACAACCGTACACAGTGTTTATCAATGGTGCTGTATCTCATGAAGCAAATGCAACATTGTTTTTTTTCTCCCAACAGCAGTTACATACCACCACACCTATCACCAGGCTTGAAAGAAATAGCTGCAGAATGTGGATGACGTCACACAAATGGTGATGTCATTGGGTGACATCACCGCTGTCCGTGTGGGTTATGACATCATCATTACACGTGTAGAATCAAGATAACCTTGTGTCTAAATAATAGATTCTTCCAAGCTGAATGACATTCACTATCAACTGTGAGTCATGAGGAGGCTAAAACATCGCTCAATGATTCAGAAACGTATGTCAACAGGAACAGTTATTTTGACTTGCCTCATTCAAACCCTGCATTACTTTTAATCTCACCATGTTTTCAGTTCAGCAGATAGGCAGTCCACCATATGTTCCTTCCCACCACATGATAGTCTCAACTGTAGTTACGCTGTTCACCATTCAACAGAAGAGCCACAGAGCTCGATGTTTTACACCACTAGGCAATTGATGTTTGTATTGCACCCACCCTGCAATCTACCTGATTTGAAAGGACCGTGACTTAACACAATTTGAAATCCAGGTTGATTCAATCTGGGAAGGTTGAATCAAGGAAAATTTGGTCTGGTTGAGACTGAAAGCACAAGTAGTATTCTTAGCATACCTGTGTTTGTGTATAGAAAACAATTTCTTTTCAGTGACTCAAAGCTCTACCCCCTATTGTAAAAGTTGGGCTAGTCCAGAATTGTTTTCCAGTGAGTTAACAGTCAAGAGTTTGGGGTGTATGATATGATGTCTACTGACAAAGGAAGATTTACGTTCAGTAGGGTATGTATAGTCGCCTGCCGTGCATGTAACATATTGCTTGTAAAAATGCTGATAGTGTAGCTTGCCTGTTGTGTTTTACTCGGCAGTTAAGTGAAGGTCTAGGAGTTAGTGCCTACTGTAGACAGAAGTTGATGTCTGTATTCCTTGGTGGTAGCCCCCCCCCCTCCTATCACTTACAATGGATGGTTCCAGAACTACTAGTAAGCAGCATTTACCAAGGTTATGGCTTGGATGAAAAAAAAATCTAAGAGAGGAACCTGTTGGTGTAATTCAAGGTTACCGGTACAAGATATAACGTTATAAGATTGTTAGAGATATGGATATATATTACAGTACCATCCTGAGAAGGGGGTTATTGTATGCCCCAGGATGTTTGGTACAGAGAGAGAGAAAAGATATGTGTGTTGATGTTGGATGTATGAAGACTACTACACTGCCTAATCATAAGGAAGACATGGTAGACTGGTGATAAGTCCAGAATGTACCAGGGAGAACACATGTATGTCTATGAAGAATGATTGTAATATGTGTGTGTATGATCAGAGAAAATAATGAATATATGTATGTAGTAGGAGTGTTTTGTTTCCTACATTTTGGCAAGATTGGAGCTTGCCATTGTAAAACCTACATGTATAACAACAAAACTTACAAAAAATAATTTTTGAAGGTTATGTTAAACCGACAGTTAAGATCTATATGTTTTTGTTTTATATTTTCATCATTCCCGTGTGTGTTATAGCTGAAGACAGCAACGACAGTGTCATATGGATGTATAGATTGGTTTGAATTTGATAGTGTAAAAGATTGTTATTGGGTGGAAATGAAGACTCAGTTTTGAGTTCGAGCTAAGAAGAGTATGCTGTCTCCTGTGTACATTGTTAAGGACTTATCACTGCTGCCCATGTGTTCCCTTAGCTTACCATTGTGAAGTTCCAGATTGTGTATTTTTCTATATTTACTCAGTTGATGTTAGCCGGTGTGTACGTTGCTGTGGATATGTTATGAATATTCATAGGTAGGTGTGGCAGTTGTCATGACAAGTTGCTATGGCAGCAAAAACTTTACTTACTTAGAAAGAAAAGAAAGAACATTTTACAAACAGCAATTTACATAGATGTCTACCTACTGTACCATTGTTTTTGTATGAAACACGAAAAAATGTGAATGCCAAGACAAAAAAAAAGAATGTTGTGATTCCATGAGTGGAAATCTAGTTGTGTACCAGTAGTTGTGATAGAGAGATGTCATTTACTGGGAAAACTACAAATGTTGTCAATGTATATTGTATTGTACTAGTTCTGGTTTCCATGGTAACCAATTGATTGACGGCTGAGAGTTGCCACGTTTCCTTGCGCGAAGAGAAGCCAAGACAGAGGAAATGTGGATCAAAATGACATTAATGTTACTTAACCTTCCCACAAGTTGTTTGAAGTGTACTTAGGCCATTTTTACCCTGCGTACATCCCTGTACAGAGGATGGTACAGTCTTACGGTCACTGTTGGAAGAGTCCATTTTCTGTGAGAAGGGGTTCATAGGTTGTTCCTGTAAGGATACTACTGTTATCAACTAGAGGACAACTCTAGTTGTCAGTTGAAAAGTGGGTGATTTTGAACACATACTCTACTATCAGTCTAGTGTACTGGTGCGTTGTAATTATGATGGTTCAGTGACTTGTTTTTTGAGAAGAGTGGACAAAAGTCTGTATCCTCTGAATGTACTTTTTTCTACAGAGTGTAAATCGTGCAGAAAACTCAGGGCAATAGAGAAAAAAACTTGCCAGGACTTCAGGCCTCATTTGCATTCTTACATAACTACTGAACAGGTACTGACTTAGGTAACCGGTGTTACACAATCATAGTACTTAATGCACAGTGGCTTGGCTTACTTTCATGCAAAAAACAACCAAGAAAAAGGAAACATGAAAATGCCAACAAATCTGTCGCATATGAACAAAACCTGCCATATTTTGTCACCTACATGTCTTAAATTAAAACGACTGTGTCACTGAGATAATAAAAGTGTGATCTATGTACCAACTTGAAGTAGGTAACTCCAAACTACCTACATGTTTATTAGGAAGTGCTACTCTAGGCATACCAAGGCAGCACTCTTCATATCTTTTATTTCCTATTTTACAGGACACATTGACTATTGTATATGGTCTCTATACCATCACTAGTTTCCATGATTTGGGCAATATCTGATGCGAAACAATAAATGCTGGCAGAAATCCTGGCAAGTTTGCAATATCAGGAACACAAAAGAGGGCTGGTTGATACGTGACTTTGGTCCAAGTAGTAGTACTTTCTATTGAGATAACCAACAAGGTAGCGGTTACCTGTTATACAAGGAAAAGTTATTAAAAAAACAGCAAATGTTTTGACAAGTTTTGGACTGTTCGAAAGTCTCTTTGATTGAAAGTTGAAGGACAGCAACGAAACCGTGTCATGGTTGCCTATCTTGTTCCCCCCTCTTGTAAAGTTAAAGACAGTTCCATTCAGCATTGTTCTTGGATGGGGTTTGGAAGGAGACATTTTTGTGAGGGGGATGATGTGTGTTGACTACAGATTAATGGCTGTTTATCATTTGTCAGACATTTTGGACCCTTCGACTTTACCCATAGAAGCGGCCCAGACAGGAAGGGATGTTCATAGGAAAACAAGCAGGGCAGCCAAAAATATGTGTATGAAGAAAATAAACAGTTTGAAGACATTTCAAAACTCCGCTGTGTTTCATGAGTATCATCCTTTAGCCATACACAGGTTAAACTTCAATAATGTAAGATTCTTTGTATGATGATTTCTCATCAATCCCTTTATCAGATTTCTCTTCAATCCCTACATGTTTCTTGTTGGGGCCTCTGGGTCTTATTGGTCTGTAAGCCATGATTCTCTGTGCACTCTGAATTAGAGGATAAAGACTTGGTGTAGTAGTCACTTTCTACTTGTGAAATGGAAAAACAGGAATGTAAGAATAGTGTATTACCGACCTTAAAAATCATCAGAACTGCAAATATCATGTCACTTTTGAATCTCAGCCTAAGGATCAGATGAAATGGCCTGCAAAAATGGTAGCTACCACTTTATACATCTACATGTACATCAGGATCTGATGAAATAGATTTGCCACTTGAATCACCCTGCAGGGTTTTGTAGCCTAACAGGAATGTTGAAAATGTGTTGCCATAAAACAGTTCATCATCATTTTCTCATCCTGGTTGCTGCCAGCCAAATATCAATTTTTCAGGGGCAGCTTCGGCCTGTATTCATCATACCGTAAATTGTGTCATAAACAAACTCTCTGACATTCAAATAATGACATATCTGGCATGCTGCATGCAGTATTGTAAAAAGTTGGGGTCAAGCCTAGTCCAATCTCTTTACAAGAGGAGAAATTTCTTAGATTACTCAGTGCCCCCCTCCCCCCTCCTTTGACCTCTCCTCGATAGGTCACACCACTGCCACATTTCATTTCATGCTTGTAGAAGGAGGGAGATCCTTTTTACCAAATAAGGTGCCGGAGGTAATTTCATGCACCAGACACTTTTATGGCTGCATCCCAGAGGACACTGTAAACCTGTAATGCTTTGATGGAAGGGTGACATTTGTGGGAATATAGGGCCTAAATAGTGCTGTTATGGTATTATGTAAATCTATGGTGAAGTATGGCATGCTGTTTGGAACAGAACCAAAGTTTTCTAAATCATTGAAAGCTATTACATGTACATGTAGGAGTACTCTGCAAGCTGAGGTTCGGCCTGTTTTAGATGGTATTTCTTCAGCTTTTTTACAAGCTTTCTATTCTGTCACCTTTTCTGCTCATTTGAATTCCTCAATGTTAAGCTACATGTATTGTCACAGTTGAACTGAATGTAATGTGTTACTATGTATACATGTATTACAGCATAGTATGTTACACACAAGCACATGCAAGCACACATGCATGCAGAAACACAAAAACACACTCAGAAACAAAACTACTTTTGACAACTTATCATTTCTTATTCTCATTCTACAATTAAAATAGCAGTTCTCCCAAATCAACAGTATTATATACAATATTCCTGTACAAGGCTATTTTTTATAGTTCAAAATCAGCATATATCAAAGGATAACATTTCAATCACAGTGAACCTACACTTGAGATGGGTCCATGTCTATACAATATCACTTTACATAATGACTGTCAAACTTTTGAACATGGTACAGTTGGTACTAAAACATGTCCAGTGTTGAAAAAATAGGACAGCTTCCAAGAGATTGTACACAAAATCATAAATACATCTGTAACAGTTACATGTTACTGTACTGTATCAAAATAACATCCTTCAATTTATAATCAAACAAATACTTTGCCACAAAAGTAGAAGATTTCAAGTCCTTCCTGATGTTTTGAAATGCCAAAACTACTCAAAGGTCATAAGATCCTGAGTCTCGCCAGTTGGATTATTTCTGACAGGTTCTGTCTCCATGGGCTCTGTTTTTGCAGCCTGTGTTTTACTGTTCCTTCTCCATTCCCACTCCTCCAGTAGCCCTGCCTCTCTCAGGACCGACCGCTCCACGTGAAAGTCATAACAGTACTGGTTCAAGTCTGGTGTTCGGAGGGGAGGGACGCGGAACTGTGACTGCGATCCGACAGCAGCAGCGAGATGGCGCGAGAACGCGAAGGGGACGTCGGACAAGACGGACCGTGGCACGGTGGGAGAGTTTGTGCCTGCTGTGGGAGGGGGGTTGTTCACTGGTGGAGGCAGATGTGGTGGTGTGGCTACCTGAAAAATGACGGGAAAAATCTTCAGCACATAGGCAAAGAAATACATGACACTCTTTGTTTGGTTAAAAGGGGTCACAGCAATTTACAATTTTTGGAGTTTTAAGGATTTCTGTAAAATATTACAGTTTCATGTTATTGATAAATCAAATGTTGTTCTAACACATATACTATTAGCATGTTGTACATAACCTAATGTACAGTGCAGGCAACACTGATTGATATGATAGAACCTACAATGTATGACCTATTGGCATTCATTCACATACATGTACACCTACATACACCTTACTTCCGGGTACTCACTGCACCCAGCATTCGGGTGTCAGACAGGGTGTGGCGCCCCTGCCCATTGAGGACCTAAAAGTCTGCAGTCTGCAGACTACAACAAACATACACATGGAACATAACATAAGAGCGACCACCCCATCCAATACCCCAACCCTTACCCCTATACCATGCCAGAGCCGTCAGCTAATTGAGGTTGTGCACGGACATGAAAAGGGAAGAACATTTCCACCATCTTCAGTTTACTGCAATACATTTGCTTGTCATGATTAAAACTACCCAATTTGCTGCCAGTAAACGATAAGTCACAAACGTGATAATTATAAGACCCCATGGATTCATTAAAGATGCTAAAAGCTTCTTGAATGTAAATCATAGCTCCATAAAACACATTTATACTACGTTATTGTTTTGATGTCCAGTTACTTGGCATGAGGTGTAACAGATTTAGTCTAATGTTAATTCGTCTCATTAACTTTGTCCACTACCATAAACATAATGAGAGGTAAATACAATCCTACATTACGAAGTACCCCCCATAGTAAGGCACTATGCTGAGACACATTGCCATTGTGAACACCACAGGCAAGATTTAGGATCCCCACCGTTTAAGTACCACATAAACCACAATAGAAACCTGCCCATTCTCACATAATGGCCAGAATTTCCCCCAGAACAAAAGCATTTCAGCTCTCAGCAGATGGGCAGTAGATGAAATTGTAGCCAAATGGCCGGGCTTGAGACTGTTTGGTGGTAATAAACCCATAGAACGGCGGAAATGGCTCTAGCGGTAATAGGAGGCAGGGAATTGAGTTGGACAGGAATGGGTGCTAAAAATCATAGTGGAAACACCAATGTTTTGAAACTAATGCACTGCCCTGGCGTGGCACGTTTGTTCAAAGTAATAGCCACTAAAGCCAACACTGGCTGACACAAGTACATAATTGACCTGTATGGTTGGTGGAGTTTTAAGAGCATGTCAGTGTGTGGATAGTGGGCTACAGTAATGCCTTCCAGTATAATCGAAAAATTTTGTTTACAAATCATAAATGCATCATGTGATAGATGGGAAATTATATTATTTGTGCACTTGTTCAGGAAAATGTGACATATCTAGCTGACGATTGCAGTTTCATTTTGTCAGTTGGCACTATAATGTTAATGTGCACTGGTACCAATTTGAGGAAATAGGATGCCCATAAAGTGTTACAACTTAATAGTGTACATGTACATAGAGTGCCATAATTTCTTAAACCTTTGACTCCTGCAAGTCTCTAGTGTCACTGACGAAAGGTAGTGGATGCATATGCTACCTGAAATGTCTGACCATTTCCAAAATCATATCCAGTTGCTTGAGCAACTGTTTTTTGGCATACTTTTTACCTGGATGACTAACCTTCACCGTCATATTTTGACGCAAAAGGTTGTCCAAAGAAAATTTTAAGAGTGTTAAGATTGCTTAAAAGCTTTATCCTAACTTTCCATGGGAACACAAAGAACTGACATTTTCTTAAGAAACATGCACATATCTTTCTTCATAAGAAATAAACATAATAAATCCTGTTGTTTGTACCTGATGATATGCTGGTGGCGGAGCAGCGCCACCTGGCAGTTCCTGACCATACTGCACTGTCGTCCTCTCGATAGCAGTTTCTCCCAGGAGCACAAACCCATCTTCTTCCCTGCAGATACAAGCATTAAAATACTGTAATTAAGGTGACCAGAGATGGCAGACTGAACCCTGTTACTTAACACAGATTACTGATTTGTAACCCTTGCCTATATAGTCCCACAGAGGAAAATAAAAGCAATGACTGAGGATGCATGGCAATATTGGGAATTACAAAACGCATACACACAAGGATAGCCAAAAATACATACATGGAAAATCATCAATCATATATGTTGATTGTTTCTTTATAACTGTTATATTCGATTCAATGTAGTCAATCAAACAGACGGTAAGTTTTGAAGTTGAAAGTTACCACCAAGCACATTGTTGTATTTTCACATCAATGGTTATTGGCGTCTTTCGAAATACATACAGGAATTAAGTTAGTAAAAAAATTCAATTAAGCATTAATACATAATGACTGCATTTTCCAGTCAGTCCGTTTGCAAAGGCCATATGCAATGCAGTTTGGATCTGACTTGTATCTCTTTACACACAGAAAAACACGACTAAAAGCAAGACTTAAGAAGAGAAACGACAGTCCACAGAAGTCCCCTATCCCCTGACCTGTCCGGTTGACTGTCCCGGCTGGTTTCGCCCGTCTGCTGACCCCTCGGTCCTCTCCGGCCACCGAACAACGAAATCATCGTCTGGGAACCACAACTTCCCTGTGCAGGGCTGCCGGGGTGTCTATCTCCGAAGAGCGAGAAATACTGCAGAGACAAAGAACCCATTTTAAGATAGTCTGAATGACTTATAGTCTCTCACAAAAAGTATTGAGCTGTTGAGTGTGTGTTAAAAATAGGTTATGTGACTCACTGTCATGTAACGGTGCCTCAGATTTTCTAAAAAAATTCCAATAAGTTTCGACTGTCATATTTAGTTTAATAACTTTTCCAATAGTTAAGATTGCAGGGAAAGAGTACATGGTATTCGGTGAGCGATAAATTCGTGCAAAGGGCGAAAAAATCGTGGCTAAACTTGTGCAAATCTTTTATAAACACGTCAACAAACTTACCCGCGTCCGCCATTTTGGATGTCAAAGGTCACCGCGCATGCTGAATATTTACGCGCCATTTTTTGCTTCGGGACGACAGAAGATTTCGTCCAGAGCGTAAAATTCACCTAAAACTTACTCGTTTTCATACGTATAATATTTACATGAGCTTGAGGTAATTGTTGACGATGGGGGAAGCATTTGAGCAGGCCAAACCGCGGGTGAACGCCTCCATGTTGCCGCAGCACATCGGGAAGTTCGTCTGTCTGCTGGGGGAAGTTATGGACGTGAGTATGCTGTGCCCCCCTCCCACATAATTTCACACTTCTGTAGTTGTACAGAGTTTATGAGTGACAATGTTTTAACTTTTGAAGTACAGGTGTGTGTGTGTGTGTGTGTGTGTGTTTTAGAAGGATAACTCAAGAAGCTTTGGATGGATTGTTAGCAATGTTTCAAAACTTGGTAGGTTGGTAACATGTGTAGGTCTTTATGAGACGTCGAAACATGTGTTTTCTTCCTCCATGATCAAAATGATTTGCATTTGGATTGTTTTGGTACTGCACTGTTTGGTGATCTAGACATGTTAGAGTCAGGGATTTTGGATAGTACACAGCTCTTTTGCTCAGGAAGAATTGACATTCATTTGGGGCCCCCTAGAAGCTTGTTCTTGAACTGCAGGAGTGAAAAATCCTTATGGTACACTTTTGTGGACATGTCTATGAAAATTCTGAATAATCTGTTCTGTTCCCTCAGGTGGATCCAAACGGTTTGATGTTTGCAGTAAAGACAAGTGACGGACAGCGGGTACAGATTAACCTACCAGAACCGGTAAGGCTTTTCCTCTTTGTTTGTTTGAGATGTCGGACCAAAAATTTGTCAACTCGGACCATGTCAAATCAGAACAAGTCAGACCAACCACTAGGTCATGTCATATCCTTAACCAAGGAAGTTTAAATAATTTCCTAACCCAACAGCTACACATGTAAGTCAAGTACTAATCCCAACCTTATAATTTGTCAATGGTGTTGGTCTAACTTGTCTTAATCTTGTTTGTTTGTTTGTTTGCATTACATAACAGGTTGTACATTAAGAACCAGCTGATTGGTTTGATCTTCTTACACAGGGAATGTGTATAGTCTTATTGAAATAAAATAAGTTTGTATCATGAAAGAATTTCTGCTGCCTTTGTTCCAGCTAGAGGAGATGGTATCAGGAACAGTGGAGATTGTCGGGGAGGTGACCAACAACTGTCAAGTCACCTGTCAGAGCTACATCCTGTTTGGGGGAGACTTCGGTCAGTTCAACTCTTCCTAACGTATTTTTAATGCAAAGTGATAGAATTTTACTCAGGATTTTGTATATTCTACATGTTGAATGTAATATATTGTTACTCAGTTCCTAAGACTAAGAGTGGTGGTATCCCACATCATTTCATTAATGTGATATGTATATAAGTGACCAATATGAGCGATGATCACTGTTTTTGTACTTATACTTAGTACATGCAAATTATATGCAAATCAGTCAACCAACACCATTTTTTTTGCCTACCACTAGCTAGTCGTGACTTCATAGCAATCACTCGTATTTAGACCCAAACAAAGTTGTCTTCTTCTGTATTCTGTAATAGTGTAGCGATGACAAGAAAAAATAAATGATTAACACATGGTTTCTCTTGTTTGCAGACATGAACTTGTATGATGAAGCCATCAAGCTGGCAACAGAACACAGCAAATACTACCCACTCTCTGAGAGCAGTAACTTCTAGGACACCTGGGAGAACTGTTGTTTGGACCATTGTGAACCATGCACTAAGTGCAAGGACATTACATTGAATATACCTGTAAATTGAGAGAAATGAAAACCTGCAATTTTGTTACAGATTTGACTGAAATACTGATCTTTTATGGTATAGTGATATCAAAAAATAGGGTTCCTTGGTGAGGGGGGAAAAGGGTACTGTAAGAAACACAAGTGTCTGTAATACTGTTTATCTAAAATGTGTTGAAAATTTTTCATGGAGTCACCACAAGAGCATATTTTACTGTTATATGACTTATTGTTTGTATTTTGAATTCAATTCAAAGTGTAAGGTGTGAATTTATAAGTCATAATAATAAAGTCTTTCAATTATGAGTCTGAAAACAAAGAAAACACAAAGACTTGGTCAGTTCAATTCTGACATGGGCTTAACCAGTTTTATTGCTCATATTATCTCTGTACATCTATCACTACACACTATTCTATCTAGCAGATTTGACAAAATAGCTCTTTTTGTATATCTTCTTGTAACTTGAGAACCTACAGTCTTCCACAGTATATATTATACATACCTTACCATCTGTTACAGTGCTTGCTTGTTGGTCTGATTTCTTAGTTATAGCCCATGTTATAACTACACAGAAATCCATATAGTTGTCAGTGTAGAATTGTGTAACACAGCTTTTGCTACATGTACATTCTTTCAACGAAATACATTTCGTCACTACATCCTTTTATTTCACTTTGTATTAATTATACGCCTTGAAGTGGTCACATTACTTCTTACATTATTGTATTGCTCACTGCACTGATGCGATTCTAAATTTAAATCTTACAGTTTGGCCAGTACATGTATTTTGTTTCACTGAAACAATTGAATTGCAACCCAAACAAAAGAACTCAATATGTTGTACTATATGTAAAA